CAGAGAATTAAAATTTGCAAAATAGATAAAATTCTATAACAAAATCAATGATATATAACTGTGAAGGAGTCGTTAAACTGCTGCCACCAATTGTAACGATGACCGTTTTAATGCCACCGAATGCCACCAATTGTGAAGGTGCACGTGGTAAAGCACCCACTGTCACCTAATCTATGAGGAAAGCTGGGTAACGATCAATGTCAGCCTAGGAACTATTTTATAAAGGGACTGTTTCTGGCTGACTTTATTATTGCAGGCTGTTCAACTTAGAAGAAACTGTATCAGGCAAGGCTTGAGGAAAACAGTAACAAGTTTATTTTAACAGGAGTATAACAATGTATAACTGTTCTTCAAAAGAGGCACAAATCTTGATGGATACATTGGAAAGGTTTTATGAGTAAACTCAGGCAAACACTTCATAAGGTTTCACCGCTGGCACAACAGGCTTAAACCCAGCCAAACCTTGATTCTTAATTCAGAATCAACACCCCCTGTACCGGGTCCTTCTCTGCAACCACTTTGGTCACCAATTGATTCCCTGAATCTCTAAGAGATTCAGTTTTTCCCTATAGCACACTGGCTACAGACACATTCCCTGAATCTCCACCAAAAGATTCAGTGTTTTCTCAGTAGCTCTCCGGCCACTGACTGACTTTTTAAAACACAGCTGCCTCCTGAAGAGGCGGTTGGCTCCGCCCCTGTTGCTATGGCAACTCAGCTAACATCAAGCCACTCCCACAAAACATAACCTCCCATACTTACCATCCCTAAACCATTGTCCAAACTACACATAACCAAAGGAATAAAATTTACACATCGTCACACCTTCACAATGAACAAACCTCTCCAAGACATCACATTGAGCATCTGCAGCCCTTCTGTGGCCATAATTAGCATTTCCCTGTGAATAACCCTGCCTACTGTTAGAGACAGATGGGGTGGGGCATGGATTGCCCTACATGTACACCATTTGCCATATAGTTCTAATATAGATGTGTAGTGGAAGAATGACCAGGAACTCAAAAATTATATGCATGCTTCCAGTATGCCGCCAAATCTTATGGGAAACTAAAACACTATTTAAACCTTTTTGGATGTATCCCTTTTGAAGGAGTCAATTAGTAATGCTCTTATTTCAGACTAGCTGTGCCCTACCACGCGTTGCTGTGGCCCAGTCTGTGTATATGTGTTTTGTGTGGGTATATATTTGTGTATATGTGTGTTTGCGTATATATGTGTGTGTGTGTGGTTTTGCACATGCGTTGTAATGTCCAAATTTGGTGTCAATTCGCCCAGTGGTTTTTGAGTTATTCGAATCCCACAAACGAACATTACATTTTTATTTATATAGAAAGATGATGAAGTTGATTAAAGGATAGAAGATTGGTGCTCTTTTTAAAAACTCTCTAACATAGAGTATTTGCCATTTGTGGTTATTTTTTTTCTTTCGTGTGAGGAGTGACTTGAAAAACTGTAAATTGCTTCTGGTGTGAGAGAATTGACTGCCCAGGGGACGCCTGGCTGTTTTACCATCCTGTTGGAGGCTTCTCTCATGTAACCTCATGGGGAGCTGGAGCTGACAGAGGGAGCTCAACCTACTCTTCCCAGATTTGAACCACTGGCCTATCAGCCAGCAGTCCTGCTGGCACAAGGGTTTAACCCATTGCGCCATCGGGCGCTCCATTTGTGGTTATGAAAACCATGTCTTAGGGATATTCTATCGTGTAGAATAATTATCTCTACTATTAAAAAAGCCAAAGTACAAGTGGTAATTTTGCTTCATTTTAAGAAAATGCCTTCATTTTATGTCTTTGTTTATGTTAAGATCGTTTGTTGTAAAATGTCAGAAAATAGAATGTTAATTTTCACTTATTTCATTTTTCATTGTATCCTATTCTGCTAAGTTACATTCTAGTACATGTGTGAGTGCTTCATTTTGGGTTGAAATGGGAATAGAATATTTTGTATATAAAATAATATCATATCAAATATTAATATATGACATTACTGGTCCATTTTTATTTTTATACCTCTTTTCCTAGATTCACGTGAAAGCTCATTTTGATTATGATCCATCTGATGACCCCTATGTCCCTTGCAGAGAGTTAGGACTATCCTTTCAAAAGGGAGATATACTTCATGTGATCAGCCAAGAAGATCCAAATTGGTGGCAGGCCTACCGAGATGGAGATGAGGAAAATCAGCCTTTGGCGGGGCTTATTCCAGGTATTTAACCATGGAACATTTCTTTGTGATTGTTGGGCTATTGCCTTGTAGTTAATTTTGATCTACTTTTTGTTAATCAAAGAAAATAACAGTTTATTTTTGATGTCTTGTACTAACCATAATAGTATATTCCTGTCTTTTTCTTTTTCTTTTAAGTGATTAATAAGTAGCCTGAAAGTGTTACTGAGCTGCTGCTGCTAGTTTGGAAGACGTGCTCTGGTTTATGTTTTTTAAATCCTTTTCCAAATAGCTCTCTTCTTTCAGTACTTCTAGTAATAAGACAGTGGCTTTTAATGACTTTTATCATGAAGAGGATTTCAGTTCATATCTCATTTCATTTCCAAATACCTTTAAAAACCACATGAGTTTCACTTGGCTTCAACTTTATTGGATTGAAAGAGAATATTTGTTTTCATAGTATGTGGATTAGGAGGTCATATTGGTGATGTTATCTGCAGGCAAAGGGATTGACAGCTAAATAATTGCTATTATATGTAGCCGTTAATGAATTTTCATAGCTGTTATTTAGAAGATAGTAGTCCTGGGCTCACAAAAGGCCTTTTGTGAGCCAAGGACTACTATCTTCTAAATAACAGCTATGAAAATTCATGTGTCTGTTACTAGATCAAATATTTAAATATGTATAATCTCTGCATGAGTCCTTTTGATCTTTGAAGTAACCATGACTAAAGATTACTTTAGCATCAGCAATGAACTGTGGTAATTTCCAAACTGTTATTGACACTCAGATGTAATTGCTCACAGATTAAATTTAGCTGAATTAATAACAAAGTATTATATATTAATTGAGAGACCTGGTTGGGCTCTGCCATATATCAGTACTGAAGTATAAACATGCTTTCCTGTTCTGTCTATTTCTAGTGCCCAGCAAAGTCCATAAATCATACAACAAGATCACTGTCATGCTAGAATTTTAAAAGACACATGCATTTTCTATGTGGCTCATTTAGGCTTCCTGTGCTGGGTTGATAGAATAGATCTTACTGTATAATCACTATCATGTAGAGCAGAACTTTCCAAACATTTCATGTTTGTGACACGCATCATTTTGCGACACAGTAATTCAGTTTTACTAGCAACCAGGAGGTTAAGACAACTGCTTATAAGAGATTTAAAAAACATACATAAATTATAATAATGAAACGTATGGGGGATACAATGCATCTCATGAAAACCTTTCATTAATATTTTTAAAAATATATGATTTATTGCTTATTTAACATGGACTCAGAAGTTTCTTGTTACATTCATGCTACACACACTGCAGCTGACACAGTCACATGCCGAAACACAGTTTGGAAAGCTATGATATAGAGTTACAGTTCAGACTTTTCAAACAGCAGAAGCCTTATATGCACTTGAATAATCTGCTTTTGAAATCCAGATTTCAGAAACAATTTGGGGTGACAGTTTAACATGTTCTTCACATGCACACTTAATGGATCATGGCTGAAATATCAATTTTCCCCATTATTTTATTTCAGAGGGTCTCATTTATCCTGAAAATACAAATTCAGATTAATGTACATTTGTTCTGAGATTCAGGGAAGAGATAGGGAAAGTCTATGGACATTCCTATGTTAGGATCTTGTATATTTTTTTATCTCTAGCATGCAAAAAACAATTCTGAATACTTGTGTTACGTTTGTCTCCTGTGGCAAGCTTGAAGAGTTTTAATAACTGACATGTCCATATTCACAAGGGCATAGAACTCTTGATTTTGTAAATTCTATGAGCTTCACAGTTTTGGAGATAACTTCTATTTGTGGGATTAAGATCTCAGAGTCCTTTTAGGAATCAAAATCTCAGCCCGTTTCAAAATACAGTCACCCTTAGAACAGTGATATTTTATTCAATGTCAATGAGGATTGTGTTCCATTACTAATTATATTTTTATAATTTAAGGAAAAAGTTTTCAGCAGCAAAGAGAAGCTATGAAACAGACTATAGAGGAAGACAAGGAACCAGAAAAATCAGGTAGGTGAAAATCCTCAAGAAATCTTTACAGTATCTGAAATATTTTTAAAAAATTGAAATTGAGCCCCACACCCTTTTTTTCAGGGCAGGCCAAATACCCCACTGATAATGAACCCATTTCCACAGTTATCTGTACAAACATAAGATAGGGCTGAATTGACTAATCAGCTATTGCTGAGACTCTGCAAAAATACGCCAACTCTTATAGGTAGGACCTATAGGTAGGACCTATAAGTGGCACTGTACTAAAATGGGCTTCTCCAATGCCAGAAAGCCCAAGATAAATAACTTGTGTGCCTAGGCAATGAGATTTCATGGCCTTCAGCAGAACTGGACAAATTGAATAATATTGGTTTGTCTTTCCAGTATTGTCCCCTGTCTATATTTTAGCATAATGATGCTGAAAAACGATTCAGACTTGATTAATAACCAAGAATTTTCAAAAGAGGATACAGCAAATTGTGTGTGAGTGTTCCTTTGTTGATGATAGTTCCGTAGTACTGATATTTCAAGCAAATATCAACAGCAAAGCATTATAAAAATCTGTTTTTTTTCTGAATGGCATTGAGTATAGTCAGTTGTACATTTGAAAATATGATTTTTTTTTCTCTTCGATGGTCTATGGTCTTCAAAAATTCTGTTCAGGATGACTTTTCTAGATTGATCTTCCTTCCCTTTATTTCCTCCCTAATATGTTTTGCCTCATGTTTTAAACTGTAGGATTGTGGACATGTTATCATCCATGTTTAATCTTTGAAGAATACCTTGCAATTTTAAATAATATGTATGTGTATGATTTTTTTAAAAAATTAGAAACATTGACATGTTTTTCAACTTCTAGGGAAACTTTGGTGTGCGAAAAAAAACAAAAAGAAACGGAAGAAAGTTTTATATAACGCCAATAAAAATGATGGTAAGAAGGGAGCTAACATCAAGTTTTTTTCAAGTTAAATAAAGCTATTAGAATGTGTTCCAGATAATTTTTATTTCTCCACATTTACTGTCTTTTGTTTAAGTGAACACCATTATCAAATCTAAGTTGGTGATGGTGACTTAAAAATACAAAATGTAATATACTTCACACATCCATTCTGTTTGTGCATTTAGCGTATTATTTTTGTTTACTTTATTTTCCCAGAGTTCCCCTTCTTTTTGTTCAATTTTTGTTCAATTTTTGTTATGTCTGTATTGACCCATTACTCTGCATGTATGCACCCATTCAAATAGACACCTCATACTTGAAAGGTTCCAGTGTAGAATGAAAGTACTGCAAAAGCACTTGAGAAACTGCACTCATATCACTTTAAAGTAGTGGTTCCCAACCTTTTTTTTGACCAAGCACCACTTTGACCAGGGACCATTTTAAACAGGGACTACTCTCCAACATTAGTACCAAAAGGGTTACAAATCGGGTTTTGGTCAACTTTAGATTCGGTTTGGTTTATTTGAGATGCTGATTCAGAAAACTGCATTGGATAGATCACATCAGCTCTGGTTTCTGATACAGAACATATGCCATCCAGTAGTCACTATTTCTTAGTCCATAGAAAACTATATTTAATTAGCCTTGACACTACAAGAGTGTTTCGCGAGACCAGTTGTTCTTGTTGCAACAGTGTAGTAACGGTGAAGCCACAGACCATATTGTAGTTCTTGCGGACCACTGGTGGGAAAACCCATGTACAGAATGGCATTCACAGTGTGCTTTGAATTATAGTTTCATTTAAGTGCTCTCTCTGTGTGTGTGTTTCTTAAAAAGAAGTCACCAACCATCTATTGCTTGTGCCCATAAGCTACTCATTTAAACATGTTAAATTCAACTTAAGAATACCTTCATGTTTTAAGGTCACATTGTATGACAGACAAATCATGTTAAAGTGACCAAATCCTAATGTGTACCACACATGCTGTTTTTCATTAAGATTGTAAAAACATATTTCCTCTTAAAATTGAATCTTTTTTCTCTGTCATAGTGTACAGATTGGGGTGCCATTTCTTTTTTTAAAAAAATCTGAAGCAATTAAAACCAATAAAATACATTCAAGAAGGGAATAAATGAATAAAAACTATGAAAGTTTAGCAATACTTCTTTGCAGTCATTTGGAGGTAAATGCTTCTTTAGCTGGCAGCAGAAAACCCCAATATTAGGAGCCCACCTGATGGGAGATTATTCTATATGATGGGTGCCACAACAGAGAAGACCCTCGCCTGTACCACAGCCAAATGAACCTTGCTTGGCCAAACTATGATCAGTGGGGCCTTTCCCCCCAGAGTGATAAAACAGGGCTATTGTTACAGAAGAAGGCAGTCTATTACATAACTTGATCCTGTGCTATTTAGGACCTTATAAATCAAATGTAACACTCTGGCTTGATAACTAATTGACAGCAATTAAATAACTTCCATCACAAGAGTCTTATGCTCTTATATGCATCTCTTCTAAGCAGCCTAGCCATCATGTTCTGAGGTAGCTGTAGAATCAAGGACAGTCTACGTAAACACAAATATCAGTGAATTAACCATTGGGATTAAGCTGTCCTTGTACAGGAATTACAGCAACAGTCATACCAGTCAAGTGCTGATAGGTATTCCTTACCCCTGAATCCAGTTGAACAGCTCCAGCCTATGTAGTTTTTCCATTTGGTTTCTGTTTTCCTTGATTCTTCGATGGCAAACAAAGGGTATTGCATCCAGGTACATTATCCATATCCCAGACCCTATGTACAAATCCTCAATCTTTCTGGAATTTGTCTTCTACTCTTATCTAACCAACCTCTGCACCAGTCCAGGTTGCATGTTCCCACGTGTGACTCAGATGTAACAAATAAAACTGGGTGTATCTGCATACAGATATGCACAGCAATGTACATACAGATGACACTTTTCCCAATCTTCCTGTTGATTATCTCTACTTCATTCAGATTTTAACAACCATTTGGAACAAGACTGTAATAAGACTGTAACAAATAGCACTTGTTTCTCACTCAGTCCAACTCAAGAATTAAAGTTATTGCAAAAAAGGATATATTTTTCAAAACTCATGTGCATTTCACATCGGTGAAGAAAATTAATGCTTTATTTTGGGTATTCTTTTTTAAAGATTATGACAATGAGGAAATCTTGACTTATGAGGAAATGTCACTTTATCACCAACCAGCAAATAGAAAACGGCCCATTGTCCTGATTGGGCCTCAGAACTGTGGCCAAAATGAACTGCGGCAAAGGCTAATGAATAATGAGGCAGACCGGTTTGCTTCTGCAGTTCCTCGTAAGTTGAACGGGTGGGGCCTATAGCTGTCTTATGTTTTGAAATTGAAACTGTACTACTTGACCTCGTGTTGATTTGCAAGTTGAGACAGGTACACAAATACATTGGTATGGAGGGAATTCTGTTTTAGTGGATTCTTTCCTAAACATATGTTTCTGTTGCTAAATATATGTTTCACAAACCCAGTTACCCTAGAGATAATTTTTGACTCTGTTTATAGGAATGAAGCCATTGCAGAACTGAAATCAGTTAAATTCTTTACTGGAATGTAATTTTGCCACCTATGTATGTCCTGTTTCAGTTTCCTGTGACATTCTGTGCTTCATGTGCTGAGTACATTTGCATGACTGAATATGTGCTATGCATGGTTGGACATATGCCAGAGACTGCTGCATAATAAAAGTATTTTGAGCCCAGTTAAGGGTTCGTAATCCTTTCTGGATGAAAGACTCTGAAGATCAGCATTGTTAATGTAGCATAAGCACATTCTGCAGAAAGACATTCCTTTCTAAGTAATTATTTTTCATAAAGCCATGGACACATCAAAATGTAAGGCTACTAGGCTTAATTTTGACATGTTTGTGATCTTATTCAGATACGACACGGAATAGGAGAGACAATGAAGTAGCTGCCAGAGATTACCATTTTGTATCACGACAAGCATTTGAGGCTGATATAGCAGCAGGAAAGTTTATTGAGCACGGTGAATTTGAGAAGAATCTGTATGGTACCAGCATAGACTCTGTCCGGCAAGTGATAAATTCTGGAAAGATATGTCTTTTAAATCTTCATACACAGGTAATGGAAATGTTGACCAAGGCTATATTTTCAGTATTGGTTTTACTACTGTGATCATGAAATAAAATTGGTTCATTACCTGTTCCCTCCTCCCTGTTGTGATATGCAGAGAGGGCCTAGTGCCCATTTGCATTTGCTTTCTTTGGTCAGGTCAGAAATGTGCACACTATTTGCACAATCCACCCATTCTATGTCTTTATATATTGTGCATTAGTTTCCATAATATGAATGACTAAATATATTGAAATATCCTGTAGGTTTTTCTTTGCAGCTTATCTGCTGTAAATTTTCCACAGCAGAGATATGAAGGTTTATAACCCCTAAACAAGCAGTGAATATATACCAATGTCACTTTCAGTCTCCTGCTCATATGTTGGTTTACCACAACATATGTCATTACAACCCATCTGTCACCCACACTGGGAAGCAGCTGGGAAAATTGATTTCCCTATAGTCATGTTAAGGCAGGCATCCTCATACTGCGGCCCTCCAGCTGTTTGGGCCTTCAGCTCCCAGAATTCCTGACAATTGAACATGCTCATTAGGGGCCCAAACAGCGGGAGGGCTGCAGTTTAAGGGTGCCTTTGTTAAGGGCACATACTCCATCCTGGGAAGTCTGTCAGCCATATGTTGTTAGCCCTAGAGTCATGTGACTTGTGTTCCCCAGTCTTAAGTATGAAGAAACAGGAGATGTTTAAAATAGTTGAAAACAATAAATTGAAAACAATAAATTGCTAAAGTATTGTCCCTCACATTTCATGCTTATTTTCCAGGTTAATCATGATCACAAGGAAGAATATGATTTGTCCAAATGTAGAATGCTTGGAACATTTAAAAATGTTGGTTTTGGGCTCTGTTCATATAATTACCATAGACATCTGTGAAAGTACTTTCATTATACAGCTGTCTCTTACCCCTCCATTCTGCTAGTGTCTGTGACTATTGTATCTGAATAAATAATACAGCCTGGTAATAAGAATATTGGTCTTAGACCCAATTTCACTGGATCCAAGCCCCGTTTTCAGCTGCATTTCTAATTGTTGCTGTTACATGTATCATGTTCTGTACTAGTTCCATATTAGTTCCATACTAGGCTGAGTTTATTTTTGTGGTTCTCATGCTGCTCAAAGTGAAGCTATTTTTAAGATTACAGTCTAATACATTAAACTAGTACCACTGGTATCTAACTGTTTTTTTCAAAGTAGACACCTTTTGCAAGTATTAAGGTAGAAATTTCATCAGTTCTGTAAAATGTTGCATTGCTAAACTTCTATTGGCAGTAGATCCATTTAATTAATAAAAGCTTTGCTTTGTTCTGTTTGGATGCTAATAGTCTAAATTTGTATTTCCCATTAGTCACTGAAGAGCTTACGGAATTCAGATTTGAAACCCTATATTATCTTCATTGCCCCACCTTCACAAGAACGGCTTCGTGCGTTACTGGCCAAAGAGGGCAAAAATCCAAAGGTACTGCTCTTACCAACATGATGTAGTAATTAAGTGTTTGACTAGTACATTGGGAGGACAGGATTTGAATCCCTGTTTAGCTATGAAAACCTGCTGAGTGACCTTGGGCAAGTCACACACACTCCGGTTAAGGTGAAGGCAAGGGCAGCTCTGTCGGAACAAATTCTGTGAAGAAGCCACATAGGGATGACATAAATAAAAAATGAGTTGAAGGCACACAACAACAACAAAATGTTTACAGCAGTGCTGATTAATCTTTTATTTGTTTTCCACCATTTAAATCCTATCTATAAAGAAACAGTAGTGTAACACACACACACACTACTTGTTTATTTCCCAGTGATTTAATATGTGTTTTTGCTTCTTGTCTGAGTGGAAAAACAAGCAGAAATTCAGATCAGAGCAATTTCTAATTGACTGGGTGGCATGGTTGTACTTAGGGGTTTTCCTGCTATTGTGCAGCACATCCAGAGATTCCTGTTGCTTATGTATGGGTACACACCAGAAATATACACACAATAATACCTACACTTAGAAGAATAATACAACAATCCAAGAGCATATGGGCACAATGAGGAGGGGACATGAAGCTGACATTTTCTAAATATGTATATATATATGGTTCCAGTATTTATAGGTTATTCCAGGCTTTTGTCACTAGATGGTGCTGTCCAGCAGTTGATTTGAACAGAATAAAAATAAAAGGCTAACCATGGTCATACACTAAAGATTATGTTTTCAAATTTAATCCTGTCTTCAAAAGGTGTGTTATCTAATCCATAGATGCCAAAGATAATGTGAAATCTAATATCTTGATTTGCCAAACTGGCAGAAGAAATAGTCACTCAGAAGCATAGCTAAAAATGAATTTGTTGTATGAACAAATTGTATGTTTTTTGAAGCAGCAGTCACAATTTATTCAAACATCCAGTACTTGTATATATGCTGCTCTGAACATGGACATTTCATTCTTGCTTATTGGAAGTATAAGTAAAATCCTTACACCTTAGAAGGCAAAAGTCAGTGAAAAGTTTCTAGTTCCAGCTAGGAAAAGGTTACTGGTCCTCATCATCATGAGGAGCTAGTATCTTTTTGTTGCTCTGGGTTAGGCTAATGAAGTTTTATGTATCCCCCCGTTCTTCTACTGTAGTTTCCTACTTCTCTATTGCCTTCTCCAAGCATGTTGTTTTCTAGTTATTCTGGGAATATTCACATAATCGATGCCTGTGGTTTTTGACACTCAGACTTGCTACTATTCTTTTGCCTCCTCTTTGACTTAATTTTTTCCCAAGTCTCAGATTGTTTCAGGGGAAGGGAAGATTCCATAAATATCTGCTGATGCTGCATGTTTATTTTCATTTCTGTTTCTATTATAGCCAGAAGAACTGCGAGAAATCATAGAGAAAACCAGAGAGATGGAGCAAAATAATGGCCATTACTTCGATACCGCAATTGTGAATTCTGATATAGATAAAGCATACCAAGAATTACTCCGTTTAATTAATAAACTCGATACTGAACCTCAGTGGGTTCCATCATCTTGGCTACGGTGAAGGACAACAATTCCAAGGGAGAAGGGGACTTTGCTCATAGAAGACTGCTCATCCTTGATATTAGATGACGGGTTAAGCTGTAGTCTGCACTGATGCTCAGTGTAATTTTTTTTAGAAAGTGTAGTCTGACACAATTCTGCTGTGATTTAGAAAGTCTGAACTTTCACTACATTTCATCAGATGCAGACATTCTGAACAAACCCCCGTGTTTTTAATTTTTTGAATAGTCTTTCAAGCAGCTGCTCTAAATTTTTCTTTTCCTTCTAGATATTTGATCTTAAACCAAGCATTAAACATTCTGATCATTATAAATATTGGCTATTTAATTAACACTGTTAACTTTATTAAGCTATGGACATGATCATATATTTTTAAGAGCACAACAGAATACTGGACAAAAGGAATTAATTTACAAGGGGAATAGAGGAATTAATCTGGAAGTTCACTTTTTACTGTATAAATGGGCTACTTTGATATAGAGTTGCCCTTAGTCTTGAATTTGTTTTTAATGATGAAACATTCCATTATCTAATAGCACTGCAATTTTTGAAAATATATACAGTGTAAATATTCCAAACTTCTTTGTATTTAGTTACTTTGTAAATCAGGTTGGTAGCTTATTAAATAACACTAAGGCCCATGAAGGTGATATATGATATGTGTGTGTGTGAAAAGTTGATATTTTAGATATATTTTATGATTTTTTTTTTCCTCTTGGCTGCCATTTTATTGGGAGTCATTGTTGTCCCATGGAATTGTAGACAACTTTAGAAGGGAAGTTATATTTTTATGAAAATAGATGTTCTTATATGAATTTTTTTAAAGCCTTTGCTTCTTTACAATGTAAAATTGTATTTTATAATCAAAAACAGATTTTGGGATCACAAGTATTAGAGTTTTTCTTGTATTTTTATATATAGGTGCAAGATATCTCATGGCTATTTGTCATGTAGGTAGTTAATCGGAGTTAATATTATTAAATAACTAAGTCATCACCCTATAGTGAAAGAATGGGGTGGAAATATTACTAAATTGGGAAGAAGGCACATTCTCTTTTCTAGAATAATCCCCCCTCTATGTGCAATTGAAGATACCCATGAAGGTTCAGATATGATGGCTTTTGTCTCTATGAAGCTTCTCCAATTGTAGCTCATTTAAACTGACTAGGTTTTTTTGCTTCTTTGTGGATGGGGCCCTTGAATGTGAATATTAATATTAGTTTTTCTTTGTTCTGTTATAGTTTTTATTTTTATATATTGTCATACACTGGAATTTCATCAATGTATGGTTGAGTGTACCGAACAGTGAAGAATTGGTTGATTTTTCTAAGAGTCAACAGAAAAAATAGGCAAATCTGACACTTTTGTGTTTGTAACTAAGCATAGTATACATTGGTACACTGCATGTATACAGAAAAAAATGCTTAAGAATAGAAATTCCTCAGTATTATCTGTTCCCCATCAGAGTCAGAAAAAGTTCTGTGCAGATTATATTCAAAGGGTCTTAAAATACATTTATCAAGATATTATAAAATAACTTAACAATGTGCCTCCATCCAATAAAGTGTTTGGGTACGAATGAGAAATTGCAGACAATCCCCAAGTTACAAACAAGATAGGTTCTGTAAATTTGTCCTTAAGTTGAATGTGTATGTAAATCCAAATAGATACATTTTAAAGTGTAACTCCAGCCAAAAATATGTATCTTTTAGCATTGGATAGCATAGGGAAGGGCCAGCTCCCCTGTGGTGTTACTTTCGCTGTCTGTGCCTGTTCAGAAGATTTCTCTTCACTTTCTGTCCCTGTGATAATTGGATTTTGAAAAAATTGGCTTGTTGTAGAAACAAAGCTTCAGTTGAGACACCTCTTTGATGACAACTCTTTAACAACTGCATTTCCCTTCCTCGGTTATGGAAACAAGGATTGGTGATAAAGCTTCAGTGGTGATACCTTTTTCCCATAATCCTTCCAGGAGTGAGTGAATTGCCCTTCTGAGGATAATCCCACCTCCCACCCCCACCCCTGCGCGCGCGCACACACACACACACACACACACTTCCTGTTTTCTCACACCCATTATTAACTATGAGTTGTTCGTAAATCAGATGTTTCTAACTTGGGGACTGCCTGCATATGAAATAATTATGTATCCTTACATGTATTATCCTAAAACATTTTTTCTCCAATAGTCAACTTTGACTAGAATGCAAGCCATGAAGGTGAAAGTTGCAGTGTATTTTTCTTTTGATTTGATAGAAAAGGGGTTCAGATAAATTGGGACCATTCAGATGCAGTTCAGGAATGGGCTCTGGGATTCTTCCTTCCCTTCTTTGTTATGAGTCCCCACCCCATTCCCTACTAGACTAACTACCATTTTATGTCTACACTGCCAACCATGTTGAAGCCTTCCCCCTGGCATTTGAACCAGTATTGGAAGCAGTTTACAAACCCAAGGTTACATATTGCATTGGCTAGCATACACAAAGGTTATGGTTGGTGTAGATATGAATAATTGTGGTGAAAGGTGGTAGAATTTGCACACAAGAATTTGCACATAAAGAGACTATGGAGAAAAGCACTACAGACCCTGAAATAAGATTTTGTGCTTGTACACTCACATTGCAATAGTGCCTGTGCATTTTCAGGTTTAGTGCCTAAGTGGCGTCAATTAGTTTTTATTGTGCAAGCATTTATGTGAAGGAGTTGCACAAAGGATTTGTATTCGAGGAGGGGGAATTATAATACACATTACTGTCCTAGTCTTAACAAATAATAAGAGAATTTTCATGTTATTGAGAATGCATTCTAGGACAGTATGAGACACTGAAATTGACACACCAATACCTGTATTGAAGAGTGACGTGCTTAAACAATAAATACATTGTTTCCCTACTCAAACCCATTTTCAGTTTCTGAGATGATTGCAAATAGTTACTGAGAATAACCTGTATTTCGGAGAGTGGCAAAATTACTTGATATTGTAAAGTCTCCTACCGCTCGTCTCAACATACATAGTAAGACTGATACTTTTTTTAAAAAATCTCAGAGTACAGATTACAGAAATATAAGGCTGTATACAGCAGTAATCTAAAGATGTTACGGATCTTTGAAGCCAGAAATGTTGGTTCCATTCTGAACTTAATAATTATATCTTTGAAGTGTGTCATGCAAAAAGTGGTTATATAATTTGAACAGGATAAGGAACTAGGAAATTCCTTCCAAAGACTACATCATTTTGTGTTGCAGTGTTACTTTGTGTTACCACAAGCTAAATCAGAGCTGTTGTTTTTCATTTTAATGGAAAATACTTACAAAAATAAGGGATAGATGACAAACCATGAATACAATCGTTTCTATAAAATAAGAAAAAATTGATTTTACAGCTTTTGTATGTATGAAATAGTTCCATACTGGAAGCATGAAATCATGTGCCTGCAATCTGTTATGAGATGTTGTGAACAAATGTAAAGAATGCAAAGTTCTACTTCTGCTCTTTAAAAAAATCACTGTACATGCATCATTTGGCCAATAGCTTTAACTTCCTAGTAGCTGTGAAGCAGATAAAAAGCTCTGTTGCCTGAGGCTGCAATGGGGCCAAAAATATTATGGTGGTAGAGCATTCTAAGCTATTAATAAGTATCTACACAGTTCAGAGTGTTGGTTGTCATTCGCTTCCACCTCTAAACATACAGTCTTCCACAGAAATCAGAAGACTGCCCCTTCCTCTCCTTCCACTTGTATCATCTCCCAGTCTGGTCTAGTTTCTCAACCCCTTGGAGTATAGAAATGAGGAGAGTCCATTCTTTTGATGTGTGGATGTGCTTGGCTACAACCTGTTGGCTAGATTGGCATGGTGTAACTTTCAAAGCCATTGCATAGTAACGAATTGATATAGAAGAGCCAGCTTCCCTTTTTACTAGCCTAAAAGTCTTTGGACATTGAGCTGCATCACTGAAATCTTAGGTCATTAATGTTGTGTTGTTGGAGTATAGCCCCCTAACTTTTTGATTTTCGGCTCCTAACAGCTCCAGCTGCACAATCATTGCTCAAGAAAGATGGGATTTTTAGCCCAGCAATATCTGGATAGCTACGGGCCCCTTACACTAGGGATGAGATATAAACAGGAAGTACTCTTGTAAGTGCATCTGTTTAAGCACTAAACTGGGATTTACATTGTTCAGATTACCGTACCCAATTTTATTTGGAGACAGTATCTAAGATCTTGTGGTTAGCACACATTTTCCCAAATTCCATTGGCAGAGCTTTGCATAGGCAATTAACTTCATGAAACAGTGGTCATATTTGCTTCCCAGTGGCAACTACATCATCACAACATGTGAAATGGTTCTCAGAATATTAAAATGTCTTGCTTTTTAAAAGTTTTGACATATATTTAACTTGTCTTAACATCACGCTGATAATTAAAGTACTTGACTGAAAAATAAGACTTGAATATTACATGTTTAATTGTGGATGTTTTCCATGGTCTTTGGAGAGGGGAGCATTCTTGCACCATTATTTACTTACCAAAAATAAAGGTCACTTGCTGCTTATTCCACTGCACATAAAGTGTATGCTTTGTATTCACCAGAACTGTGTGCCTTTTTGTAAATCTTCCCTATTTTTTTGGTTGGGAAACCAAATATTAAAGTTTCCATCTGTCCTGTGTAAATCAGAATTTGAACATGGAATTCTTGCTAAATGCCACTTGTAATCTTAATATTTTATCGAACAAGAATGCAAAAATTGAAAAAGCTGGTGTTGTTCTGCTTATGGTTGCACAGCTACTACCACAGGAAACAACTGATATGTCATAATGGCTCACACGAGGAAAGTCCAAATATTTGATTTCACAATTGTGCAAGGATGAAAACGAGATTCTCCAAGCCTTGTATTAATGAAATGACAGCAATGGGTACAACCTATTTCCTCTGCACATTCACTTCCCTTATAAGGTATCGCCTATCCTGAGAGTCATTTACAAGGTCTTCAGCCTTTTCTACCAAAGGGTACTAAAACTCCAGGATACCACAGCACTTAGCCATGGCAGTCAAAGTGGTACCAAGCTGCATTAATTCTAAGTGTAAACACATCCTGATGAACGTGTAAGGTGGCTGCTGCCACACTAACCCAACTTAAGATGACTGCATTCTTATCAAGACAACCAGTCACCTCTAACCACACAAGTTTCAGAACGCTTGGGTGTCTTACACATGTATAAGTTCTGTTATGAAAACAGTTGGAGATTTATCCACCGTGCAACGTTGACATTGAGGTCAGGGTCACAGAAGCAGAGTTGTCTATGCAGTGCACACCAAACCTGAAGTAAATGATGGGGGTATAATGGAGAGAAGAACCATGTTCTGTCAGACAGTATCTTAAGCTCTATTGTGTCATTACTATTTTTGATTTAACAGGACAGCAAGAATTACTTCACTGGCCGAGGAAACATATTGTCCAGGGTAGTATAAGTTGTATAAGCAGGACCTTACTACAAGTCCCAGCTTACCCAGGATTCATGGCTTTGTTGCAATAGCCCCCCCTGGACAGTCATTTTATGACTAGTGAGAAATGAGGGGATTGGAGAAACATCTGGTTATGCTCCATTTTCTGCCACTGGTCTCAGCAGATTCTGCATTGTGCTACAGAGGCATAACTAGATACTTCTGATTCCCCCCACTCCCACTCCCTGGGGACTATCAACAACCACAGGACGCCGTTCTTTGTGTGCATCATTTTAGCTTTCATCATAACTAGACAATAACTGTACCTGAAATTAATACAAACCCCTTGCTGAAATCCATGAAGTAAGTGTGAAATAACAGCTGACTCCAGCAGACCTAATTTTTATTTTTTTCAAGGACATTTGACAGAGACAATCTAAATTTAATCTTTTTTTAATGATTTACAGCACAAATGAGTTGGCAGATTCAATCAAAATAAAAAAAATGTTCTTTGGGAAGGAGGGGGGCAAACTACATTGAAAATACAAGTATGGATTTGTTTTTACCAAGTTGAAGGGAAAAACAATTTCAAAATTTCCAAACAGATTACAATAGCTTTCACCTTTGAACATGAAGCAGGTTAAACTTTTTTTGCTCACAACAATTGGACAGTATATAAGAAGGAAAGTTCAGTAAAGCTGAATAGAAGAAGCCAAGCTTCCAGTTCTTCTGTGGCAAAGGAATAAAACAGATAATGGTTCTGCTTCATGCATATGTTTACTGAAAATTAGCCACTTTGCACAACAGAAAAATTTCCCAAATAACTTGAGTGGAGAGTTCAGGCAAATACAAATGAAGAGCCACAACATAAATAATGACCATCGTGTTTTCAGAACAGTACCTTATTCTCACTGCTCTGTTACACATAGCTATTCAAATAGAAGATCCTCATCTTTGTCTTCTACAAGCAAATTGGCAGGTTCTCGGATTTGCTCTCCAGCAGCTCTCCGTGCTGCTTGCAGTTTTTCATTCTTCTCTTTTATTATTTTCTTCTTTTCTTGGATCTTCTTTAATCTACAGAGCAAGATGGTTACAAATACTGTATTATCAGTGCTGACAATACTCAGTCGTGCTTCTTTAAATATAAGTAATCTGATAAGACCATTAAGCTGGGATTTTTGCTCTCAATATTCACAATATTTTTGTTTCTGGAAAGGCTAGATGAAAGCACGTGATGAAGGAAGGATGCAGAAGATATATATCATGGCTCCTCATTTTCATCAATGGCTAAAGTGCCAACAAATGCCTATCATGTACTACAAGAAAGGGAAAGTAGATTGCTATGCCATAAGGAAATCTGTATCTACGTCTAGGTCTGTTGTCACTCTTAAGCAATCAGTTTACACTAGACAACAACATAATCCTGGGATGAACAAAACTATGCAATGAAAGTGGTAGATACTTTATTAGCAGTCACCAGCCACATCAATTTAATCTTTTTCCTCTCCCCTCCTTTTTTCTTTTATTATTTTTTCTTTCTCCCTCTTTCTTCACCCCATCCTAGTCTACATCACTTTCCCCTTATTTAACTATTTTATTCATTTATGAATGATATATATATATATATATATATATATATATATATATATATATAATTAACTAAGAAGAGACCTAACTGTTAATCTATATAGAATTATATATAGGAACACTCAATTCCTTGGCATCTTCAGAGCTGTTCTGCTCGTTACAGTGAAGGGAAGGTTCTGAGCATTGACTCAAGCTGTTGGAACTACAACAGACTACATTACTTAGATGATCAGCTATATAATGAAGACTCCCATCTGAAACTATTCATATCTGCAGTGGCATGAACTATAAAGAATACCTAAGGCAACAGAACTGAAAATTGGCACAACAGAATCATAAAGTTGAAAATGGCCCCCTGTAGCTTAAAACTATTGGAACTATATATATTCATAAACAGGTCTAGAAATATTAGCCAAAAAATCAATCCAAAATCCTGGATCAATTTATCCATAGTTCAATGTAGATACTGTACCTCAACCCTTATCAAAAAAGGAACCAACCTCTTCTCTAAGAAGAGTGTCAAAAGGCTTTAATCCATCCCAGGAGAACCTAAAAGAACCACCAATCCCCTCTGTCCAGCCATTCTTTTTGAATGGCTGGACAGGAAAATAGCAGCAGCAATAGCCAGTGACATGCAGATACTCTCTTCTCTGTAGAATGACCCTCAACTTATACATGGGTCATATCAAAATCCATTACCTTGGTCCTCAAAACAGCTTTTAGTTGTATTACAAACATGGAACAAAAACATTCAGCTCTACCATATTTACTATTCAGGGTTAGCTGGTTCAGTACTCTGTACTTAATGTCTACAAAACAAATCCATTTTTCAGATTACCAAGTTTCCTACTAACCTGTAGAACTCTT